TATTTTGTTTTATTTTAACTTAATATGTTAAAAAGATAAATGTTTTACTATTTGGTAATTTTATACATAATTTAAATAATGAATAAACATATAATTTGTATTATTATATATCGATAATCAATTGCACCGATGAGATATTATTCAAAAACAACCCTGAGCAAATTTTTCCAGAAAGAGCCTCAAGAGCCCAGAAGTAATTGAAGAATGCTGATATTATTGACATTGATATAAATTTGCAATTATTAATATAAATATTTGGCTAACATATTTAAATTAAATTTATAATTTATTATATAAATACTCCATAAATAAGTATATATAAATAATATTTAAATACATATACATGTCTACGAAACTAATAAATCATAAATTAATAGTAATTATTAGCTTCGTATTCTTAATCATTTATACTATTGTATAAAATAATTAAGATTCATATTTTCTCCACATTAACATTTCAAATTACAAAAAGAAATTTCGTTAAATTTTTTAAATAAGCTATTATAAAATAAGTTATATATAGAAAAAATTTTTTATCAAGATATAAGAAATAAATGCAATAATGTAATATTTTGAATGTAATGAAACTATGAAAAAAAATTAAAGAAACCAATAAAAAAATTCCTAAGAAAATATAGGATTGTAATACACTGTGCAGTATATGTATATTTACTTCTTCTTCTAGCCAGAGCCTCTCTCTTTCAGCATGTTTCTCTTGTTCTCGTACTTCTTTTTCTTTCTCTTGTTTCTCTTTTTCCGCGCAAAATTGCATATATTCCATATTGTTTTCCAGTGCTGCCCTCAAGCGTTCTTCATTGGCGTCGCGTTCTTGTGCCATTATCTGTCGTTTACGCTTGCGACGCTCTTTCTTCACAATGCGACGCCACTCCTTATGACTGAGCTTTGTTTCTTGTTTTGAATATTCTTCCATCCTCGCGTATCCTCGGAAACAGTGACAAGGTTGGCAGGTATTGTCAACAACGTACGAAACATTCAAAAATAATCACATTGAAATGAGCCGCCGGTCAACTGTTAACATCGATGTATGACTATGTCCGACGCCATATTGATTTTCGAACAACTGCGTGATGCAATGCTGTGATCTGATCGTCGGTATACAAAATCTTTGAAATAGACGATTGTTAATTTTGTGGAAGCTGCAGAATATTATTTGTGATATCAACATTTGGTGCAACTGATTTTTTTAAAATTCTATATTAATTTTCTATTTTGAGGACCATACTTGTTTAAATTTTATTAAAGATGAAGTTATTATGTTTTTATACATTATTAAGTGTTATTATTATCAAGATTATTTGATAATATATGTTATATTACCTATATATTATTAAATAAAACAATATAATTTCTATAATGTAATATAATGTATTTTTGTTTAATAACTATATCGTCTGTAGATAATGTTACTATTTCGTCAAAAGATGGAGACACCATGATTATTCTCGTGCGCAGATATCGACAGAATGGTATCAATAGAAAATTAATCGCGCCAAAAAAATGAGATTTTTATGAGTGTGTAATAAATTTAATATTAAACAATTTTTAAATATTAAATGTATTACTATACCTAATATTAAATAATATTTTTAAAATATTAATAAATGATTATATATCCAACTCTTCATAATGATTA